CCCACGATTGCCACTGTATCCTGCAAAACCTGTCAACATGCAATAGGGTGGATGTGCACCGAGAAATGACCGACTAAAACACCATTACCTGAGTCTATGTGAAGACAACGCTATGTTAACACGTTTATTGATGAGTTCAGTCAAAATTTAGAGGACAAAAATAAAATAAAAGTATAAACTAATGAGATAATTGCATGGTACTGTATGAAATCAAGGGAAATCCAAAGTGATACACTGCATAGACAACTTTTTTCCCTTTGGATCAATGTTGGTATGGTTAAAACAAATATGTACATCATGCCATTGAAATACAAAAGAAACATTTTAGGGGAGAAACCAACTTGCGTACAGTAGCTTATTTTTTCGGGGGTATTATGTTTCCTTTTTTATTTTTTGTTTTTTTTTTTGTTTTTGTTTTTTTTTTTGTTTTGTTTTCTTTTGTTATTTTATTAATCTAACAATGCTTGAGTACTGTATTTAAAATTAACCAATGCCAGTGCTGTGAAAGTTGTAGTTGTTGTCTTCATATATAGTCACCCAGCTTACCTTGTATGCTGACATAAAAGAAAAAAAAAAAAGAGTTCATCTATCTATATGGATGTGTATGACTTTGCAAGAGTATCATATTCCGAAAAATAACACAGAAAAGTTTTTTTTCATGTGGACAAAAAGGACAAAACTGGTGTTAGCAGTAATCAGTAGAAGTGTTGACCACCCAGGAGGGAAGGTTGGACCAACCTTCTGCTTCCTGCGGGGGTCTAACCTGTACCGTTTTAACATGACCCCACACTGGCATAGCATCACTGGAGCATCACTTGACAACGGGCGGAGGCGACGAAGCCACCGCGGTTGTTGTTTTTATCTAAAAAAGAAAAAAGAAAAAAAAAGAGGCCAGTGCTGATTGACAGTGGCTAGGGTTTTTTTTTTTTTTTTTTTTTTGCACACATGCCAGTAAAACTTTTAAAGCAGAGTCCAACCTCCGGAGAGTTTTGTACGGGCTGCATGTCCTCTCCATTCCAGTGATTTTGTGTCAGTGGATCGTCCCCTCTTCTCCCCCTCCTCCTCCCCCCGAACCCCCACAGTTTTGTCGATCACATCTACACCCATTGTGTGTGTTGTATTGACCCGCCAAGGCATCAACTGGGTGCTTTTAATGCCTGCATTCTGGAGTGCATCTTTTGAGCGGAGAGAGAGCCCGCGGCCGTCCTGCAGGCTCGCTCCCCCCCCCCGAAGGCCACTTTGGATCACTTTGTCCACTGACATTGAGGACGCGTGTTCTTCTTCACTGTGAGTGCAATGTGTAATAAGGCTGTTTGTGTTACTGAAATGCAGTAAAAACACCTCAGTTCATGTGGAAAAAAAAAAAAAAAGAAAAAGTCTGCTTCTTTGTCTCTTCTTTACTTTTTCCTAACAGGTGTAAACGCAGCATCTCACCTGAATAATAACCGCAAATGCAAGTAACACTGTTTTTTTACATCATAGATTAATAAATACATGTATATTTTCACACATTTTCTTTGAGCATAAGGTGGAATGGGAATTGTGCTGTAGCATCTGGTGCTGAGAGCGAACACTGATATCCCACTAAAGGATGTTTAGGAAAATAACCTTTATGAGCTTCTTCAGGCCTTTTAAAGGTTTTCAGCAGACTGTGTTTGACAGCTTAGTTGTTGGACCTTGATATAGGATTGTTCTATCACCCTACACACAGCACTGAGCCTTCATTCTCACTTGTGTTAAAGATTGATTTCTTTGGCATTTTTGCCTTTATTTGCACAGTAAGAGCTGAGAAAAGGGAAGATTGTGCATTATTAATTCCAACTGGTTTCATAACACGTCATCTGCTGTGTTATCTAAAGCTTGTCTTATACGACTTCTACATCATCTGATGACTCTTCACCAACAGGATTAGTCTGCAGCCGTCGCTCGCCGCCGTTTCTCAGATTCAGATTTCTCAGACTTTCTCAGCAGTTTCATGCAGTCCTTAAAGATCAGCCAAAATCAATCAGTCAAACTTTATTTATATAGCACGTTTCAAACAAATCATGTGGAATTTAAAGTGCTTCACAAGCAACTGACAAAACGTAGATGTTAAATTGGATTTGGACCTAAACACCAAAATCAACATTAATTAAGACAATACAAGAAATAAAAATAAAATTCAAAAGCACTGAGTCATTACACGGAATAAAAATATTATAGTAAAATGTCAATAAAATAAATAAATAATGATGGTGGTAAATAGATAACACATCTCTAAGTTTAATTACTAAGACCATAAAATGCAGTTGTTAAACACTCCATTAAAGCCAGACTGAGTTGTTGTTTTTTTTAATCATATTTTCAGCTCTGAACACTTCATCCGAACAGCTGTTCCAGCAGGTTGGATTGTTAATAGCTGAAAACAGCAGCACCAAATGTTTCTGCTCTGTTTTATGGAACAGCTAAAAGAGAAAAACCAGAGGATGTGAGAGGCCTTCCAGCTTCATAAACCAACAGCATTTCGGAGAGGTTGTCTGGTGAAGTAAACTAAAACAGAATTTTGAAATTTTGATGTGAAAAGTAAGAGGTAAGCAGTGAAAACATTTAAAAACTCATGCAGTAGAAGTTTGAATTAATTGGAGATGATGTATTTCTAACTTTAGTAACATATATAAAAAGTGTGCATCACTTTATTGCTCACATACGATGACATGAGCCTTGAAATTAAAAACCACAGGCAAGAATCACTCCTTGATTTCTTGTGTTTCTTGTGGATTAAGTCCTCGTGTATTTGCTTTGACGGTCTCTCTCTGGCATGAATCCGTCTCACAACACTCTCAGCCTCATGTCCAGTGATTCTCAGACAGAAAAGCATACTTCAAAACCTACTTTCTCTTTAAAACCGGCATACACTTGAGAGTATGTACGTTGTGGTTTATTTTCAGCTGTAGGTCAATATGTGCTGGCGAGTCTTTTTAACTGCAGGACTGTTTGTCATAATAGCGAAGGAATCAGCCGAGTGCAGCTGAAGTTGTTGGTTTTAGTCGTTCCATTGGATACGATTTTTTTAAAAAACCTGCTTGCTTGAGAGTTTCCCACAGAAATCATTTTTGTGGGTTCATTCTATTTCCTGATGTCTTTCACTTCTGCTATTTCAAGATTTACAAATGAATAACTTCACAATCTGCAGTGTCATGACATCCAGTTAGTTTCTCCTGAAACAAACCTCCGTCATACTCTTTTGTGAAGGACACGGTTCAATGTTTTCCAAGTGGAGACACCTAATGTTTAACTTGATGACATAGTCGGACTGTCAGCGCCCAGTTAGGCAGTCTTATCTGTCGCATACTTCTGTGGCATCTTCCCGTCACCTTTACCTGCTTCCTGCATGCCACTCGGCCACCTGCGCCGTCCTCCGACACACACCGACTGCATCTCCAAACTGCTCTCTCTCCCATTAGCGAGATGAACGATCGGATCGGACAGCGGTGCTCTAATTCAACCTCACTTGACTAATGGACTCAGCTGGCAGCTACATCTGCTAGCCATTGGGGAGCGCCAAGGCTGTTCGCGTACATTAGCAAGCAGATCTCTATTCCAGGGGCTTGTTCAGGTAGTGGGCAGACCAGCTTGAGGCCATGTTGGACCCAAGAGGAATTGCCTTGCTCTGACCAGCAAATATGGGAAGTGAACCTTACTGCCCAAAATAGAACAAAATCAATGGGGCTGTGGAGCTTGTCTGTGCCATGCAAAAGCAAATGCCAGAGTCATTGATTTTTCCATCTGAATTATGTGCCATCGACCCCCTTGAAGTCCTCTTAATTAGAGCTGTATTAACAGGAGGATAAAAGAGTGAGGGGGATCCTATAGATGCTGATGAATGTCCGAGGAGCAACTCAAGCCAAAATCCTAATAGTTTTCCTTCTCGGAAGCATTTTTTTGTGTGTGCTTTACGAGACCACACAAAGGCCTACTTCACATAATAGCACCTTTTTGAGTCCCGACAGTAGCTGGAAGTGGCTGCGCTCGGTGCTGATAGCTTCTGTACACAGAGGGATTGAAACTGTCAGTAGAACTCTCCCTCATATTAGAACTAATCTGCCACTGAGCAACTTTATCCAGCCCCGATTAGTCACGGCAAAGGAGCGCTGTGTGCTGCCGACTGAAGCCCTGACATCCCCGCGCTTCCCTGTAATGCGCTGAGGAGGCTGGAGAGGAGCTGGCAGCGAGGAGCCAGGAGTGTCTGGAGGACGGGTGTATTCTCTGTCACCGACAATGAAATCGATTTGTTCTGTGGAGAGCTGAGTGTCTGCTATCGCACCGGTAGTTGCGAGGAGAATCACTTAACCCCCCCCCAGACTGGCCCGCTTAACAGCTGTAACATTTTTCGACACAAAATTTCCGAGTTCAGTCCAGACAAAAGAAACATTTCTGTCGTGTTAAGAAATCCATTTTCTAAGTCGCCGTGGCTTCATCAGCTCGAACAAGGAGCACAAGCCGCTTTAGCGCAGTTCTTCACCCTTGAAAAGAAGACAGACATCTGGATTGTTCTTTTTAAACAAAGACAACTGTGTTTTCTGCTTTATCAGTGTTTAGACTCAAGGTTGAGTCAGATTTCTTGACTCCTCTTCAATGATCTAATCAGTGACTGTGGAGAAACAGCGGTGATGAAGGAAGATTCAAAAGTGAAACAAAAAGCTTTGAAGGCGTTGCTGTTTGTCTGACACACACTTAGATGCACAAAAGTCAAACCTTCAGACTTGGGCTCATGACTTTGGTGTTTGTAAAATCTTCTGCAGGGACGAAAACCAGACAGCTAAGCAACAGACATTTATTTGGTTCTCCCAATAACCAAACCAATCTCAGTCTTCATCAACTTCTCTGTTTTACTATGAATTTTTGATTTTAAAATCAATTTAAATGTTTCCTTACAGTTACTGTGAGCCAAAGAATTAAATTATTTACCTGCTCTATAAATAAATTCACCCGAATGTGTCAAAGATACATTTTTTTCTCCCCTATTGCTAATAAACTGAAACGACACATGCATCACAGCTATTAACGCTGATACTCATGTATCTCCACAGCATATTTTATGCTTTGTAGCCAATTTGCAATACAGCATGGCACTTTTTGCGACACATTGCGCACAGCTCTTAAGATTAAAATGTAAGAATCTTGCCTGAAGTCACTTGTTTGCCATTGTTACAAACATGGGCCATCTATCCAAACACCTAACTGCTTAATTCAGGATGTCAGCGCTATCAGAAGACCACAAGAAGCAGCTTTTTACAACAACAGTGGAAGCAGCAAGAGGAAGAGGTCGATGTAGAAAAGGAAGAAAATATTGATGACATGTGAGCACTGTTGGTTGACTGTGTTATCAGCCCTGGGTGAAAGCAGCTGGACAGAGAGTCCAGCCCAGTTTGACTCAGGTACGTTCCTAAATGTTAATTAATTCCACACAATTCAGGACTTCACAAACTGTACCGCGCATTTAAGTCGCTGTGTGTTACTGTCGACTTCACAAATGGCTTCTGTGTCATATGCTCTGTAACCGTACAAGATTTATGGAGGCTGTGAATGTCCAGTGGGACACAGGAAGCAGCAATAATCAGTTTGGATCTGGCGAATAATACAATTAGCCTCCAATCCATTTCATAAGGGACAACACGGTTCCCAACATCCTTCAGTCTGTGTACAGAGGTCCTCCATCCAAACCGAGCGCACATGAAGCACATTTACCAGAGAGAATCTGGGACACGAATCTGTGAATGTCAGTGCATAACTCTACACAAACTACAGCATTTTTCCTACATGCTGGACTACATTTGTTCTTTTCAGAGAGGCCTGGAATGCTAATGCGATCCCACATGACTTTTTTCTCATCGATGAGTCTGTCTTCAACCTCACAGAGACCAGGAGAAGGGGAATGGGCATCACTGGATCTGTTGTAGATGCACGTTGTGGTGGAGAGCAGCAGCATGAATATGTTGTAGTATAAGACAATGATGGCTTCCACTCCACTCTCCATTTCTCAGTCCAAATGAAGGCATGGCAGGTGTATGACTATGAGCTGTGCTGTATGTGAGCGTGCATCTTCAGCAGGCGGTGGAGGAGACAGGCGATTATATTGAAGTGACTCTAAAGGCGCCTCTTTCTCCACCAGGGAAGCTATTGTGTGTGATGTTGATGAGGTGCTGTGTACTTCCTGCTCTCAACCAAGGCGGACGCTTTTTCTCTCGCTCCTTACCTTGCCCTTATCGTGCTGAGGTGTTTTGTTGTTTTTTTCCTAATCGCACACTATGCCCCCCCAGAGGAGCCTAGTTTGGGAATTGCCTTTTTTTCCCCCCCTTGTTTTCCCTCTTGTTTTTCCTTTTCCTATCTAAAATAAAGGGCGCTGCTCATGCTGGCTGACCGGACAGTTTCTCCCTCCTGTCTCCCCCTGTTACTGTCTTTTTAATCTTTCTTGGACAGGATGTTACTGGTAATTTCGTTGCTCTGTACTTGTGACATGTGCAATGACAATAAATCTGATTCTGATGTAGCTTATATTCTTCTGTTTCTTCTGCTTTTTTTTTTTTTCATTGTTTTTTCTCAGTTTTCTTTTTTTGTTTCCTGTATTTGGCAGACTGGATTTATTTCGTTCACAATGCTGTAATGTCCTGTGCATGTGGTGTACTGTTTTGGTATGGAGAAAAATAGAATGATCCATAATTCTGTAGACTTTAACCATCATTTTCTCATTTCAGAACTGTTTACATACAGAACTACCACAATGACAAAGCCTTGAAAAAAACACAACAGCGTGCAGACGGTAAAATGAATGAAATGAAGACTGTTTGGTGCACAAGTCTGATTTTGGTATGTTTTTGTAGTTTTGAATGCAGAGCTGTGTTTTGTATTTGAGAAAAATTAACTTGTGTGTTTTAGCAATTGCAAAAACTGCAGTCTGTAGGTTTTTTTTTGTTTGTTTGTTTGTTTTAGCACAACAGCCGAGTTGGGACTTCCAGTAAGAAGAATATAAGCCGCATGTTGTATCACCAAAAGTCCTCACATTTTCTGACAAATGCCAAGGACTTGACCTCAAGGGCGGCTGCAGCCCTGCACAAACAACACACCAGTTTGAACATGTGAGTCCAAATCTGGCTCATGACATCTTAATGTGATACTTTGCTGACGCCAATTAGGAAATTTGGCATTTTCTTGTTTTCTTCTGGGGAAGTAAAAGGTCAGGGTCAGCTGCATAACGGCTCCACTAGAAATGGGAACAATTTTATTGTAACGCTTCCAGACGGTCACCAGTTTAAACGCAGTCGTTGATGATTAGTGATGTTGCTCGTCATTAACCCACTCACTGTTCTTACTCTGTCTGAAGTTATTGACGGTAACCCAGTCGAACCTTTCTGTTACTCACAACATGACAACTTTTGTATCCTCTTTCTGTTTTAGTGTTGGGTGTTGACTTTCAGTGACCTTGTATGACTCTTGAGTAAGCACTTTTTTTTTTTTTTTCCCCAAATCACATGCTTGCTTGTTCTGTACATACAGTACATTTACTTACAAAGGCAAATGGCTCGTAGCCTCTGTAGCCAACACCCATATCTAAAGGTTGTCTGACTCACTGTGTGGCACAATGTGGGAGGACAGTGATACTGATACGAGTCAAAAGAGTAGTCTTAAAGAGAAGAAAAGGACTGGGTGGGTGTCATCTTCACAATGGAAACTGTGTCCAAGAAGTTCATCAGTATTGCAGAAGATCCTCTTTCCTGTCACTCACTGTAGTGATTCACAGAATTCAGAATAACAAATTCATCGGAGTTGGGGTCTGACGTGTTTTCTGCTGAGTAATGGTTTCACTTCAGATTGGAATTTAGAGTTTTTGCGCAGTAATGCCTGTAGTGATGATTGCAGCAGGGCCACCAGCCTTAAACTGACTCACAGGACAAGTTTTGGCAATCAATCAAGATTTACTGCTTAGATTTTTTTTTGTTGGTTTGGTTTTTGACATTTTTTTTATTATTATTATTTTATTTTTATGTGCCCAAAATCTGATTCCACTGTGAACTAGTTCAAGTTCGGAAGTGATGTCATGCCAGTGAAATCAGATTTTACGATTTAATTTTTAAATAGATGTGCAGTGGAAGCTGGTGAATTTGTGAGAAGTGTCAACCCAAAATTCTTATGACTTATGATTCTTATTCAATTCCTCACTGTCCCTCCTTCACAGCTGTCAGACTGCACAGAAATATGTCATAAGACACATTCAAATCTCATGACTTCTGTGAGTCATGATGATGAATTTTCGCTACATGATTGCTGTGGTCAAAGGAAATCACAATAATGGTGTTATCGTGATAACTGTAGAAAATCTGATAACAATGCTGTTGAACAAAGCCATCTTTAACTTTATTTTGTTTTTGTCTGTTTTTTGGCAAATCAGTTACACTCAAAATGTCAGTATTGGGAGGTGGAGAGACTCTGTAACCACAACTGTTCTGTATGTTGGAGTGTCGACCAAATAGTTACTGACGTTGGATTAATTCTAATATCCATCCATTATCTATACACCGCTTAATCCTCACTGGGGTCGCAGGAGGGCCGTGGCCCATCCCAGCTGACTTAGGATGAAGGCAGGGGACACCCTGGACAGGTCGCCAGTCTATCACAGGGCTACACTTAGAGACAGACAACCAAGCACACTCACATTCACACCTACGGACAATTTAGAATCACCAATTAACCTCAACATGTTTTTGGACTGTGGGAGGAAGCCGGAGAACCCGGAGAGAACCCACGCTGCACGGGGAGAACATGCAAACTCCACGCAGATTCATGCGTCCCCCACCGGGACGCGAACCGGCAGCCTTCTTGCTGCGAGGCAACAGTGCTACCAACTGTGCCACCTTGCAGCCCTCTAATATCATCATTTGTGTGTTTTTAACAATATCTTTTTTTCTCTCTCTCACAATTTTGCAGATATTATCATTGCCGGTACATCAGGACACCCCTAGTTCAGACTGAAGTTATATTGCAAAAGAGAAAAATAAGACCTGCATCTGATGTTGGACCACATACAGAAGTGACCCAACTAATGACAACAACCAATTCCATATGATTGCTGCTGTTCACATTTAGAAAAAATTAATTCATCTCTTGCCCGCAGCCTGAACGCAGCCTTCGAAGCAGAAATGTGGGTGTAAAAACACGGCGCTAAAGCTCAGGATGAGAGCTTTCCTCCCCATTATCAGCCCTCCTCTCCTCCCCAGACTGCACGAGCAGGTAATAACCACACACCATGTAATAATCTAGATCACTTTATTAATTTAAGTTAGGTAGAGACACTAAACATTGGAACCACATTTGCTCTGCTATGGAGCAGTCTTCAGAATATTACAAAAAGAGGCTTATGTCATACTGAAAAAAAATGGCAAAAATTAAGAGGTAGAGAATTTAGGCTCATCACTGTGACTGAAGGAATGACGCCTATTGGAATGTAGTTGAAATTCAAAAAACTCTTGTCATCCCAAAAAAGGTATATAAAATATTCATACATCAAATATGGTTGGAGGCAGTTATTTTTTTGGGACACTGGGGTATTCACAACATTTAAACATATACATTTCACTTTAACAGGACATGGTGGACACCAGACAAGAGTTAATTATTAACTTTAGGGGGGGGGGGAGAAATAATGGAAAGCTGAATACATTTCCTTTGTTGGGACAATGAGTTTGCCTGGAGTTACAAACTATGCTGGGTTACTTTCTTTAAAACAATATTGGTAACAGATAAATTTACAATATGAACACCACAGACCTTAAAAAAAAAACAAAAAAACAAAATGCATTTCCTCTCAATTTCTCCCTAAGCAATACATTCTGAATGTGTCACACATGCTAATTCAACCCAGGACACAGACTCCCTCGTGCACTTTTCATCGGAGGGCTTAGTCAAAACAGATGTGAAATGACAGGACCGTGGAGGGACACCGCTGAGCTCCATCACTCTGAAAACTCCTGTGAAGATCAAGTCAGCCACAATCTGGCCATTAAGTGTCCCATTTGGAATGCTTAGACCACATTAACATATATGCTACATGTCTCTAACTTAAGTATTTAATAAAAAACTGGAATTAGGGGAAACTTCAATCGTGAAACTTTTTTTTTTTTTCCCGTCCTCTTTATTTTAAATGGCACAAGCTAGAATCAAAAGTTGTGAACCAGATTTTGTGAGCGAAAAAGAGCCTCTGCGTGGGGAGACGTTGGGTAGTTTGAAATGCTGTGTTCAACCTTCTACATGGAGAATGCCGGCAGTGTAGAAAAAAAATAAATCTGAATTTACATCAAAAAAAAAAAAAAAAAGAACAATCAGAAATTACAGTGCATGTCTACAAAAATAAAATAAAAACAGAAAAAAAAAAAGATTATTACTGTTTGTACAGTAACATACTGTATATTTCCACAATGACACTAGATAAGGCTGGTGACTACATTACGTAAATAGTTAATTAATGGATACCTTTTCTGTATGATTTCAAAACTAGTGACACAGTATATAGATGTTGGTTTCTTTAAACAAACTTAAAAAAAAAAAAAAAAGACAAAACAAGTCAAATAAATCCATTGTGTAGTACACAGCTTTCTTTGTTCCAGAGGAACAATATGGTAAACCTTTGCATCTGCTCAATGCAAGTGCACCAGTCTAGATTCAGTCTTTTCTTCCTTCCATCTTCCCCATTTTCACCCTCAGTGGTTGTTTCCTCATGCTTTCAGGTTCATATGCCCCTGTTCGTGTTGCAAACAGCGCCCCCTAGATCCCGTTCTTCGCTTCATTGTTGTTCATGGCCTCCTTCCTCTGAGCTAAGAAGGGGTACATGCACTTGTCGGCGCCCAGGAACCGGTACATGCACACGATGGCCTCGAAAGGCAGGATGCTGCGGGGAAGAGACAGAGATGAGATTAAGATAAGGCACAAGACACTCCTGTACGGTTTACTGAGAGCCGACGGAGCAGCGAGGAAGGGTCCTGGATGTGTGGAGGAGCTCACCTTTTCATGAAGTTAACCATGTAGACGATGCGCGGCGTGCAGATCATGGGCTGGTCGGTGAGGATGGCCCTCATGGCTTGTTTCACGCAGAACTCTGGCTTCAGGGGCGGCAAAAAAGGCTCAATCTCCTTCCTGGATGAAAAAAACAAGGCAGTTATTACCAGGCTTCAAATTCAGGAAATGAAATTTTGCCCAACTGGTAATTTTCTTTTTTAGAACATCCAATTAGATTTGATCTGGAGTGGACAGAGCTGTCAGTGGGTTGACCGTTTATTTGAAAATGCTTGAGGACACTTTAAAAGCGGCAGCAAATTTAATTAATCCTTGAATAAAGCGATACTGGTGAGTCAGTTCCTGTGTACGGTAATGGTGGGACAGTAAAGCCACCTGCTGACTGTAACCATCAAACAAAGTGAGGACTATTACAGCGGCCTGGAGGAAGGAGGGGTTTAAGGCCAGGTGCACCTGCTGGTGAGGTTTTCCCCTGGGAAAGGAAAGTAGCCCTCTTTGTTTAAGCGCAGTGTTGATCCATGGAATACATCTCACTTTATAATAACTAACACAACACAAACCATCCGCAGCTGCTTTGAAGTTCAAATGGTGTTTCAGAGGCGGTTTTTATAAAGATTACAGGTGACAAACTCATCCCAGGTGCAAGAAAGCTTTTAAATAAAGCACAGCGCACACACAAATGCAATTACAGCTGGCGGTATGTGTCGAGGCTAACCTTATCCTGCAGCCTTTGAACATTCCCGTGTCGACCAGGTAAGGGCACACCAGAGTCATGTTGATGCCATCCTTCTCCGAGGCCTTCAGCTCATGGCTCAGTGACTCATGGAAGCCAATGGCACCGAACTTACTGGCGCAGTAATCCTAAGGGAAAGAAGAGAGAACAGGTTAGCCCTGTAAAACCCCCCCCATGCCCGCACCCAGGGACCAGAGAACATTTTCAAACATGCCCCCGGGGCACAGAGGTCTCTCCTTGCTGTTAATGATACAGCCACAAAAAAACCTGAGTGAGCCCTGTTCTACGGTTTCATTAGCATTCTTCTCCGGTGCATCAGGAGACTGCTCTGCTTGGCGGGAAGGTTTTGATGTGGTTCGCCGTGGAAATAATCTTTAAAAAAATAAAAAAGGCTTGGGCAAACACAGATGCATGTCGATAAACACCGGGGAGGATAAAGGGATTTGACTGTGGCCACATGACAGGCGAAGGCTTTGGTTCCCTGGAAATAACGCGCACGTCAGAAATCACATTTGAGGCACTTCCAGGAACCATAATAGCCCAACAAAAATTGCCGACACTTTAGACCCTTTGAAAGGAGACTTAATTATTATGGATGGATGCTTGAACAAAAGCAAATGTGCTGCTTTAAAAACAAAGGCGAACGGAGCAGTCGTCCCTACAGACTGTCGGAAATTGATACCATTCTTAGCGAAGGGGATAAATGAGAAGTCTGTTCCCTAAAATATCAAAATAAAACCTTCTAGGAGGGCTACTGGTTTACTCCCTCTGTGGTTTCGGAGATAAATGACCCCCCACTAAATTTTTTATTATGCATTAAAATAACAAAAAACTATAGGAAGGAAAACCAAAACCATATCCATTGAAAGCCGCTGTGAGCTGAATACAGAGTGAGCACCAAGTTGTTCACAAAGCAGTGATGAAGATGTCTCTGTCCCTTGGGGAGCTGTCAGCTTATTCTGGCCCCGGGGCCAGAGCCCAATAGGGGCCCCACACCCCCACTGCTGCAGATAGAGGAATCTATAAGAGGCTCCCAATGCTCATCTGTGTTCCTTAATTTAACGGGTGGAGGGACAACTAGAGAAAGGGGGCCTAACCTCCCCTGTCTCAGTGTGCTAGCTGGCACGGTGACGGCTCTGGAGAAAAGCACTGGTTTTGGATGGTGGGAACGATGGGATGTGTATGCGTTGCTGTGTATGATACTAACCTCCACTCCAGCTGTGCTGAATAAACCGAGGGAGCTGGCAACCGTCACAATGTGACCATGATTCAGCTCCAGCATCTTGGGGAGAAACGCCTTGGTGGTCTGGGGGAAGGACAGAAGAGACAGAAGGGCAAAGAAAAAAAAGAGGAAGGTTAGTTCACTTGTGCAGTTTGTCTGTGCCAAAGCCCTTTGATCCTCTCTGCCTTCCCTCTAGTTCCCCCTCTCTCCGTTTCTCCCTCTTCTCCATGGTGATTCAGAGAGAGGCGTCTGAATGAGAATTCATAACAGGAAAAAAAAAAAAGAAGAAGAAAAAAAAACAGACTTGAGCGCTGGAGGTGCAGCATTTGAAAATATAAACACACAAGTTAAGTTTTATCCTTTGTGAATCAGATGTCGAGGAGGACAGGGGTTTTCACCTCCTCCTGTATTCACTGAACAAGCAAGTGTGCGCTGTGTGTGATGCTGTTACAGTCTGTCCTTTTCCCACACAGATCTGGTGCCCGTGGTTGGGCCTTGCACTAAAGAGCTGGTGACAACACCAATCACAGGCCTCCGTTCACTCAACACTTCCAACAATACAATTCAGCCTCTCATCTACCTACACAGCCTTGCGCCCTGCCCGAGCAGCAGTCAGCGGAACAATCTGCGAGATGAGCTCCGAGATGAAAGAGTTTGAACCGGGATGCCACGTGAGATCCTGAGTGGTTCCTGCCGGCTGCTCCGCCAGCGAGAGCGAGCGAGGTGGTGAGAAGCGCAACACGGAGGGTAAGCGGTTACAGTTAATTAACCTGCGGATCCATTCCTCTTTCTGCCTGTCTGCCGACTTTTGCCGCTGCCCTGGACACAGCATGAGCCAATCAGCAGGTGTGACATGTGACGGCGGTGATAGGAACTGACCAATCACTCTCCCACTAGGAGGTCTACAAACAACCAGCAGGCCTTTTGTTGGTAGCAGAGCAAAATCTATCCAAGTCACATGTGCGCTGCCATAGCGAAGTGCAACACATGTAGGCTGGTGACGGATAAAACATAAAGGACACTTTCACGCCACGAAAACACGAGACCTGTGTTCAAGTGTGTGTGTGACCTGTGTGTGTTCCTATTGTGTGTAATGTACAATTAAAAAAAAAAAAAAAGTTGCTCTTCTTACTTTGTCCAAATACTGTGGGCAATTTTAAGACATCAATTTGGGCTCTGGAAAAATGGGTGAGCATTTGTTATCATTATTATTATTATTGACAGTTTATGTCCTAGTTTCCTACAATTCTGTGGTCACATAAACGAAAGCGAACAGTTTCATTGGTTGGTACAGTACGTAAGCCCGGCCAGAGAAATGATTCAGCCTCCTCTGTAAACATTTGCTGGAGGGGAGCACAGAGTCAGTGAGAGCATGGTACCAGGTAGTACAGCCATGAAACCACTGGTAAGGGGAGGAAAAGCCTCATTAAAACTGCACCCAGAGATTAACTGCGGCCGACCTTCGTCAGGTAAATAAAACTGGAAGCAAAAAGTCAAAATCTCCACAAAGAAAAGGCTGGTGTATGAGGATGACTTCATCGTTTTTGGAGCGGATTCTGCAGCCAGGTATTACTGATCTGATTCGGCTCCAAACATCTGCACTTTTCCAGGACATAAATTTTCAGGTTGCTGCAATATTCAACTCATCGAACGATGGGGCCCAAAGAGAGGGAGCGAGAGAAACGCGAGGCCTGGGCAAAAGCTGAGAAAGGCCTCTGGAAGCCAGAATGGCAGTGGATGAGGGAGGGAGTTGCGTGCAAATGAAGCATTAACTTAAGATATGCCCGTACCTGACTTGAGCCAACATTTCCCACTCCCACAGCAACTTTCAGAGAGCAGGGAATGACTTGATCTGGCACAACGCTTCACAGCTAACGCCAGCACTCAAATTCAACGGGACAATTTTGCTGAGTGGTCTGAAAATAACTGGAACTGATAGAGGAAAAGCAGATTCCCCCTCAGATCCGAGGACGGGGCCGAAACGCGACCAACCGTCCGATCTCTCTCCCACCCTCCCGTGATGTCCTGCTTCTCATGGCAACTCTGGCATGTGGGTATGACCCCCACTGACCTCTCAGACACAAAATGTGTGAAGGCAACCAGGGGCTCGTGTCTTACATCAGAGCCGCCGTAATTGGGTCTCAACGCTCCCTTGTTCCGCTAAATTACCCGCTGACACAGCCGGGCCTCCTTGGCCTATGTAGGGGTGCCCTGCCCGCTGCACCCCCTAATTGGTGCGTGCCCCCAGGAGCATTTAAGCCACACAAAGCTTCTTGCAGCTGGGGTGTCAGGCTGCATTAGTGCTAGCGCCTGACCAACAGGAATATGAACAAAATATTGGCCTTTGCGTAGGACCAGATGGCCATTTAATTGGGCTGACTTCTCCCTGGACGAGAGAGAAAGAGAAAAAACGCCTGAGCTCAAGAGCTCGTCTGATCCTACAGCAGATCGCGGAATTCGAGTGGGCTGGGTGGATTGTTAGAGGTCGTCCGGGGAAGATTGATGCAGTTTGTACATGTTGCGCTGACCATGCTAATGGAGCCTCTACTACAGTTAACTAAAACTCCCAGATGGTTGGACTAATCTAATTTACCTAGAAAGCAATCGCATCAATAATTCTAGGCAGAAGTGACGTCAATACACAACAAGTAGCAAAGGTCCCAGCTTTCAATATAATGTGCCTCCAAAACTTAAAAAAAAAAAAAACATCTACATCGACTATATTGACACAAAACTCTAAATTGGCTAATCTGAGCTTCTCTCCATTTGGTCACCCAGGGGACTCTTCAAACAATGCTCATCCTGCAGCCATTAGAATTACACGTATGAATATTTTACCTGAAGAGCTTCTTAAACTGGCTGAGACGTACTATTACTTTATAGCTTAAGGCTTAATTTTCACCTGAATTTTAACATATCATGAATTAAATGCAATATTTTAGTCTGCCTTTAACACAAGTGTAGCTGGTATACAAATATAATTTACTATTAGTTGCTCAGTGGGATATAATTTTATTTAGCAATGAGTTATTCAATTAACTTTTTTGGATAATTTAATCATTTTCAGCTATTTTCAAAGAGGAAAAAAAAAAGGGAAATATTCTTTGCTTCCGTCACGTAAAAGCTTTGGAGTTCTGCTCTGTGAAACTATAAGTGGCATTTCCAATACTTTCTAACTTTTTAAAATGATTATTTGGTGAGACAATCAGCAGACTTATACGTTGCGAAAATGACGATCTGCTGCGGCCCCGGTCCCAAGCCTTGAGACGCGAACAGGTACGTGCAGAAGGAGAGCATGGGAGTAGTCATGGCTAGCTTCTCTGAGGGGTACAGGTGCACCGGGCCTGAGGAGGGGCCCATATAAAACCAGTCAAGTAGGACCCTTCTGCCTGGCTGCCTCCTTTCTCTGGCTACAGCAGGAATGCGGCCTGCGGAACTTGGCTCCTGTCGCCTGGCATCTTGTCAAGCTGATCCAAAGACAAGAAACCAATTGTCAGATAAAGTGGGTCAGCAGCAGCTTACCATTACCCTCTCGCCTCGCCTGTGGATGGGATGGCACTGCCTTCCTTCCTCTTTTCTTTCCTTCTGCTCTTTTCCCGCCATGTCACTCCGGAGCGCTCATGTCATCGCACAAGAGAGGTAGGATTTCCACGAGAGAGAGGAGGAGGAGGAGGAGGAGGGGGGGGGGAAATAACTGCTTATTGTTCGCAAACCACCTGTTGGATAACCAGTTCAAGATGCTGAGGATGGTTTCCTTTCATGTCATCCCAATAGATACACACTAATCCTCTAAAACAAACTCCGGTGTCACTGGTGAAATGACTGCACGTCTGCCCCCGCCTCCTCCTTGTCCCGTCACAGCATGACTAAAAACTGAGCCGCAAACATCACAAATCACCAGCTGGACTAATCAAAGCATCATCAGACTAATTCAATGTGATGACCCCCTACCTCATAAAAACCTAAAGGGAGCAAGGGACTGAATCATAGTTGTTAGTGTGTGTGTGTGTGTGTGTGTGAGTGTGTGTGGCAGAGCCGGATGAACAGAGCTGGCCTCCGTGACTCCCATGCAGCTGCACCCACTGCCTCCAAATCAGGTTGGGAGGAGTCAGAGGGGCCTGTGGAAGGAGGATAGAAGAAGTGTGGGGTCTGAGCTGGGCTGATCTGGCAGGCAGACACCCGCGCACACACACACACACACACACTACGATTACCATCCGTTTCCTGCTCATGTCTCCATCCCTGCCTTATTCCCAATACACTGTCCATTAAATGAGAACTTACACAAAATACAAATCTTTCTTTGTCTGGACTCTGGCCTTTCCGTTGCTTATTTTGCATCCAGTCATGCGATTTACGTAGGGAATGCTTTGAACTCATGATCATTTGCTCTTTAAAAACTGTGCGTTTGGGAAATGTTAAGTACTGTCTGGGATTAAGGAAAAGAGGAGGCAAAGTTTTTGTGTTTGACATCAGTTCTCGCTTCGTGGCTAAAGTCATTAGATTGTTTTTTGCCACATAGTTACACTGAACAAGATGACGGAGATACACAACCTCAAGAAAATGCACCCCAGGCTAGTTGTGTCCACTGCTGAAGCATCAAAACATAGAAAAAATAAAAGCAGCAGCATGAATAATAGCAAGCTTACTTGTAAACCTGCTTCTGTAAATTGAAATGACAAGATCTGAATGGGTCCTTTTTTTTCAGTTTTCAAATACAAATCCTCTTATTCATAACATCCCTTTAGTGTTAGAGAATGTTGAAAGCATGTGCCTCAATAAACAGGCTTTAAACCCCGCCTAAAATGTTTCATGACTAGGACCTAAACTGAAGTTATTTGTTGAGTCATAAACCACAAGCAAGCCATTTTAAGAACCTGTTGTTCAAATAGGAAAACACAAATATCAAAGGTTTGTGTAAAGCACCACCTGCATGCAGTGAGTAACTGTAAGGGAGGAAAGTGGACAGGTCCCTGTTAGTCTAAGCTCTATTCATCTAACTTGTGTCGTTAATGAACCACATCCTCCATTCTGGCTGTCGCCATTCATTAAGTCCTTCTTTCATCTGCCCCCCCACCACCACCACCCCTAAAGAAACCACGCTCTCCATAGAATATGGGAGAACACAAACACAGAGCTCTATTAAGAATCCTAAATCTGCCACCCAACCACTGGATCCTGACTCCAAATCCTGGATGTAAAAGAACACGGAGATAGCCAGAGAGGCGCATGAATGGTTGAATGGAGCATCCATTAAAGGAGGAAATGCACAACCTGTCTGACTGACAACACAAGAGATTTTCATGCTCAATTAGGAAGCTTCAAATCACTGTGTTTTCATGGCATCCCCGAGATTCTCCGGAAAATGAGGAGCCTGCGGCCAAAGTCTCAAAAAGAACATCTCTTGCCTCACTTGACACATTGCTTAATATATTGTGACAAATACAATCAAAGACAAAATGGTCAGCTCAGAGGCACGCTATCAGGCGAAGGACACACTTCCAATCCTTGCAATTTACTCCTCAGTGGGACGATAATTGTCCCACAGAGGCGGCCGTAGCTCAGCAATGTAATCAGTTTTCATTACAGGTGCAATTAAGAAAGGAGAGTTTCCTAAATAATACACATCCATCTTTAAATCAGTGAAGCGCTTTAATTAATTTCTAATTGCTCTATCAGGCTTTTTCCCACACCCCAAAAACACACACAAATGCTGCGATAGCTGGTTCAACGCTGCCGCTTATACTTATCTAAAGTGCAACATATTCACTCCATCAAGTCCACGTAGCGTTTCAGATAAGTAGTCACACACTGAAAAGGCGCAAGGAACGGAGCCAGAGTAAAATCTGATACGCAACAAATCACCATCTGCCAACAAAATGTGGTGAGCTGATCCAACACAGATCCAACCAGAACCCTGTTTCCATCACGCACATCAGGTTTGTGCACAGCAAAGGAGATGAGAGGGGAGGCTTGACATACCTTGGGGATCATCACTGACTGGGGCTGCCAAAGCCGAGAAAAGGCAAGATTTGATTTTATTTAAAAAAAAAAAAAAGGAAACCCGTGACTTTGTCTCTGGCAGAATGAAACCAAGTGGAGGTGAAATCTGAACATGCCAGGCGACTATTTATGGTCATACTTTCTCAGTCTTGGAGGAGCACACACACCTTTGATTGTCGAGTTTGGCACACAGAAGGATAAGATTATGAATAGGCATGCGAGTCAGAGTGGGAACATTCCTCACAGTAAACACTGTTGATAACACTGTGCTCATGGAAACTGACAAATTAAATCATCATATTTTAACATTCACATACTCTGAGCTCAGCTGACAGCCTTGTGAAAGCTTGTGCATCAGCTCACCCAGAAGTGTGCGTGACAGTTGACCACCATGGTGCGCTCGATCAGCTCATCAGGACACTCCAGGAGGTGATGACCAGAGACGACGCCGGCGTTGTTGATCAGTATGTCCACCTCTCCCACCTCTCGTCGCACCTTCTCCGCTGTGGAATACACACTCTCGCGTTTGCCCACATCGCAGACATAGGTGTAGACCTGCGGCTGGAAAGGAGGGACTTCCTCAACACCTCCAACAGGTCCTGCAAGGAGGAGGGGAAGGAGATGGAAACAGAAGTGATCAATGAAAGTTTGGTTTCTTTAAATCCACATTAATAATAGTAAAAAATAGATTGACTTTTTAAAAAATATCTCGACTGCATTTGACTACATTACTTCAAATTGTTTTAAGGGGGCACTTTTTGCGCACTTTTGGAACATTATGTCATTTTAAAAAGAGAGATTGTATGGGAATTGACAGCAACGACTCCGGGAGGCAAACGTGCTCACAAATCTTGCCATGTAAAACATTTCACCTTGTTCCTTCTGACCACTGCTGAGCAAAGCGTCAACAAAATGTGAAACGAAATAAACAAAAATAACCGTGCGTAAAAGCTAATTGCATCCCAATTGCTGCAAAGAAAAAGCACGCTTACCGTCTTTGGTTATGGGAGTGTCCAATTCGTGGTAAATCTGCCGAACCATCTCCGCCGTTTCCTCGTTGCTTTGGCTGTTTATGTCCCATAAGACCAGTATCGCTCGTCTCCGGGCGAACTCCTTGGCGAACAGCCGCCCGAGTCCGCTTCCAGCCCCGGTGATCACGCACACCTGTCCCGCCACGCTCTTCTCCTTGGGGCGCACGACCCATTTAGCCCCGGCAGTTAAAAAAGCCCAGAGCACTTTCAAAATGACCACGAAGAACTCCGCAATGATGATCATCATCTTGGCCCGTGCTTTCTATCAATTCAAATGAGCGGCGGAAGACGCGCAGGGAATTGTTTCCTTCTTGCAACCTGTTTGCAGCAGAGCGACAGAGCTGACACCGACAAAAACTTGGATCGCGGTGCAGGAAGGAAGGAGGGGGGAAAAAGTGGCGAAGGAAAAGACAAAAAAAAAAAGCGCACGCAAGAGCACGATTTATGAGTGAGAAGAGAGTTCAGATGCCGCTCAGTCAGAGTCCAGTTGCCACTATAACGCACAGTTGCCGTGAGTTATGAGCTGCTACAATGAACTGTGCCTCCCACTTCCTCTGCTGCTCCTCCACTCATCTCATTCTGAACCGCATCTCAGCGCTATTTATTCAGTCCACCCATCAACGCTGGACCCAATAGGAGCGAGACTTGAGCGCCTGTCAGAGTGAAGTGCCAGGTCCATACACTACACTCAGAGGTGATGTAACCAAAGATTTTAACACTAATCTGTTGCAAATTTTTTCCCCGATGCAATATCCCAAAGGAAGAGCGCAGATTAAGCTTTCCCACCGCTTAAGAGACAATTTTAAAAAATGTCATTCATTATTAAAAATAATAATAATTTGATATTGAAAAAAAAAAGCGCACACGTGTAAATATCCTTAATTTGGATTTATTTCACGAGTGATCCTTACTTTTGACTAAGATTAACTGTATGAATATTGTATCTAATTCCCAACTGCAGGTTTTCCAACACGAAATGCAAATCAGGCCACATCTTGCAGGTCCAGGTCAATGTCCGTCTGGTGCAAGCTAACCTGTTGTTCCCGACTTTACAGCATTTAAACACCTCTATGTAAACACAATAACCTACTACACTTGAATCGGTGATTAACCTATCGAAGACATAAAGATTTACTGGCGATCCACTGCGATCGGAAAGTGAAAGTGGATCGGTAAGGTCCGCACCAAGACAGACGTATATAGCGCTGGACAAATGGAATTCATAGGCTACGCTTCTATACGCGCAAATAGATTAAGTCTACATATTGTATTTCTGCCTAATTAAGGTAATGATCGCAAGAATGACAGGCCTCTAAAAAGGCACAGATATGCTCTCACCATACAGCGCACCTGGGCTGCGTTCAGCGTGGACACGTTTTCCCCAGTTTGCAACCTTTTTTCCTTGTTTATCGGTGTTGTGCAACACACCTTCAGCAACCTTTCATGTGTTGCCCTTGTTTGGTGGGCGTGAATTATAAGGGTGGTCTGTGTATATTCTCAGTCATCCAGGTTATGGTTAAAAAAACAAGCAGACTTCTCTTTTTGATTATTGTTTCATCTCTCATCCAAGAGGCTTTTTATTTTTATTTTTATTCTTTAACTTGACTGATGGGGAGCCCAAGATAAATAGCGGCCAGATAGAACTGAAAAAGCCTCTTGGATGAGAGGTGAAACGTCTTCCAGAGCCAAAAAGGGAACTCCTCTTGCTTTTTTTTTTCCACTCTGAGAATCTTCAGGACTCTAGTGAAAAACGAAAAGTAAAACCTGCATTCAAAACCCCTATAAAAAGGGTACACTATTAGAAGAAAAAACAAACCTACTTCTTCTAAAAGTGATGGGTGTCACTGATGCATTTTTAAATGTAGTGTAGCTGCCTGTGCTCTTTAGGTGTATATAGATTTCACAAAGAAGAAAAAAGTTGGGTAGCCAAGTGGAAATAAAAAAAAAAATAATAAAAAAAAAAATGGCAAGACGTTATCTGAAGCTCACATTTGAATCAGATTGGATGTTCATCTTTAATAGATACATTTGGTCTATACATTGAAAATGGGCTTCAAAGTGAGTCTACACCATGGATCTAGTTTATTTTCTGTTTTCAGAACCTTGCAGGGAATCCCAGGGCCTGTGTTTTACGCGCTGAAGTGGACGGGTTGGCTGTCTTCTCTCCACTGAGTATCCAGGATCAGCAGAGGAGACTTTTCCCCTGCAGACCGCTGCAGACGCTCTGTGGTCCTGCTCTGCAAAATGAAGCGGTTGCTCCCTCTGCCGGGTCAGAAAGTGTAAAACCATCACCTGTAGCACTGTGATGGAAAAGGGAAGAGTATATTTTCATTTCAGAACACACACATACAACAGAAATGGCGCCAAAATACGTCTATATAAACCTTTAACAGATTGTACACGTAAAAAAAGATTTTACTTTCACATTTTATTGAGCTGAACTACTAGGCGTAACAGTATCCAAATTAAAAAAAAAAAAAAAAACATAAATAAAGGAGAGAGAGGAAGATATGGCACTCTACATTTAGAGGTCATTTAAGTAACAGCATTACCAAAGTGGATTACAGCCTTGCTTAACCTTATTTTAAAATATTTCGGAAGGCTTAGCTTTAAAGAAATTTATTAGTCAGGCGCTGGACGGACACTCCGTAGAGGTCCTAAATGCTTTAACCCGCACATGCGCAAAATACAAATTCTCTTTCTCGGTGATCGCAATGGCGGACGCAGAGTGAGTGTTTGCCTCCGTATTGAAATCTAAGCACATCCAGTATTAAAATAGCCACCTTTTGTAATTTTAAAGGATGGATACGTCGTATAGTTAGTATACACTAATATAATCGCGGTATTGTTTAGGATTGTGTTTTTTTTGGGTTGTTATGGTCACTTTTTCCAGATAGTGCATCCGTATAGCCTAGTACAACATGGCTGTCTCTGTAGCCTCTGTGCTGTGAAGAAGTATGTAGTTTCTCTGCTAAAAAAAAGGAAAGAAAACATGGAAGTCAGCTATTTGAATATGTTGTCGACTTACTTCTACTCCTCTGTAGTAATGTAGGCTTTTGTTCAGAAGAGCACAAACCTGTATGGAAACCGGCAAATGACAGGTTAGCTAGCTAGCTAGCAGCCTGCTACCAGCGGCGATGAAGAGACGTTTCAGTTTAGCAACTTAGCTGTATGTCCACAGTAGATACGGTTAACGTGTTACGATTGTGGTCCTGATTTTTTTTTTCCTAACAACTCTTCGCAGAAAAAAGGTGCCGGCGGTCCCTGAGAGCCTTTTGAAAAGGCGAAAGGCCTTCGCCGCCATGAAGGCCATGCGTGTCAAGAAGCTGCTGGCTGAGAAGAAGGTAGGATAAGTTGCACGCTTGTGGTGCTGTGTGGCAGAGCATGTTGGTAGGTTCCTGGTCCAACTTAACTTGCTTTCCTGCGCTATCCAGGCCCGCAAGGTGACCAGGAAACTGATCTACAAGAGGGCTGAGAAGTACCACAAGGAGTACAGGCAGATGTACAGGCGTGAAATCCGTCTGGCCCGCACTGCTCGCAAAGTGGGAAACTACTATGTGCCAGCTGAGCCTAAACTGGCTTTTGTCGTCAGGATCAGAGGGTGAGTAGTACCCATTGTATGGAGAGGGAACAGTTCTTGTTAGTTACATTTACATGGATTGCTAGACTTAAAAGACATGGTCATGTTTTGTTGCCTTCTTACTCATTGAAAATGACCTGGTGTTGCGCCAGGTTGCCTCTGTAACCCCATACCTTGCAGGGTATATCTCTCAAATCAGTGTCAAGCTGCTATGTAGGTAGTGGCATATTACAAAATGTGAAGAAGTTGAACCTCTCTTTATTCTGTCATTTAGGGGAGAAGAAATTGTTGGGTTTTGAGGGGCTTCTTTTTTGATTGTAGTTATTGTAGCACACATTTGTTTACTGAAGCAATCCATGTAAATGTACTCCTATTTGTAAAAGCTGTCCAGTGGTTAATGATGCACACTCTTTCCCCGGCTGATCGACTATGGTGATAAAGATTTGTACAATAAGCCAATTATTTTCTGAAACCACAATCGATACTGTAATTTGAAAGCTGTATCCTTGTGGCAATCTAAATACTAATCACGATCATTATTTAATTTCCAGTATCAATGGCGTTAGCCCCAAGGTCCGCAAAGTTCTGCAGCTGCTCCGTCTGCGCCAGATCTTCAACGGCGTGTTCGTAAAGCTGAACAAGGCTTCCATCAACATGCTGAGGATTGCCGAGCCTTACATTGCTTGGGGGTAAGGTTGTTATTGCTGTTAGATTTTGGTCCTGCAGTGTTTATCATTCGTGTTCATGATAGTCTTAACAGTATTCGAGTTACACAACTAAAAGGATGTTTTGTCTGGAATGTGGTTAATGATGCTGAACTTTTTTCCCCATCTTATCGACCATGGTGAATACTGACTGAAACTAAGCCAGTTTTGTCTGAAACCACATTCCTTTCATTGCCCACAATCTATACATCTGCATTTTGGCAAACTATTAGATACAGTGTTCTGATGTGTGTGGTTTAGATATATATTGTTCTGGTGGTGTGAATTTCTTGATAGGGGAAAATAATCTGTTGGGACTGTGGCATCAGCTATCTAAGTGGAGACAATATGTATTATTTTCCTTGTTTCAAAGCAGTTTTGTGTCAATCAGAAAATATTACTTGGTAGTTAAAGCACTTTATTCTTTCTTGGCTTTCTGACTTTTTATGTCATGGAATACTTCAGTACTGTTTAACAATTTATACAGAAATAAAGTCAGCTTCAGACTTAACTGCAGGAGATAAAATGGGTACACAGAAGTGAAACCTTAATGTCTTAGAAGAACTAAAAGATAAAAATAGGAATGTTTCTGATTGGGATTTTTGACACTGTGTAGTAATGTATCTTCACACAAAGCTTGGAAGTGCTTTAGATGTTCATTCTTAGTACAAGAATAGCTTCCTCACTTAGGACTTTAATCTAAGCCTTAAACCACTACATACAATTTGTACTTTGAAGCTAGAGTGCAGATGCTTGGACAAGCTTCCTCATCTGCAGTTTAAATGTTAATTGGATTTGTCCAGCTATATCTAAGTGACAATCCCAATATATGTAATATCATTTCAGTAAATATCCAGTGTCACATTTCATACATGTGCTGTAGTTTGAACATGTGTTCAGTAAGAAAAAAAAATGATGCTTTGCTTTCTGGGTGTTGGAATTGTCAAGCATGATCAGCATAATCAGTAGTTTTGACTTTTTGTTGACAAGCTCTGACATCTCTGAATGGGACATGACCCAAAGTCTCACAGGTTTTCAGGTGATTTGATGAGCTTTCACTTTAGTTTGTTTGTTTTTTGTTTTTTTGTTTTTTTTTAACTGTTATTTATTTTTAAAACAGATTATAAAGACCTTAAGCTGAATTGAGTGGAAAAAGTCAGATTATGACAGCTCATCAATGCCAATATTTTTTGATGTGTGGTAAATTTAGGTCAAGTCTGTCTGGAAGCTCATTTCAAAATGGGGAATAAAAGAGTGTAGGGTTCTTTAATGGTCCCTAAGCAAAAGTTATGATGTTGTTGTGACCGAAATTGATCAAACTTCATGTGAACTAATTACAAAATCTATGACCTGCTGTTTCCCCAGATACCCCAACCTGAAGTCTGTGCGTGAGCTCATCTACAAACGTGGCCACGGCAGGATGAGGAAACAGCGTATTGGCCTCACAGACAACGCTCTGGTGGAGAAGGCTCTCGGTATGGACACATCATACATTTTACTTTGAAAAAACAGTGTTAATACGTCCCAGAGTACATGAGGTGAAGGTTGTTCTAGAAATAACGTCATGTAACCTGTCAGCATTAACATGAGTCTTATTCCGCAGAAGGAAGTAATAATTGAAAAGAGGGCTTGTTTTCTCCCTGATCTTGTAAAAAAAATTAATTAAAACATGCGCTTGATGTTATTAAGCACTATGCTTTGCTGCTATGAAGGTTTGTTTTAAAAATTGATTCCCAGCCTCCTACTTTTAGATTAAGGCCTCACGCTTCATGTGGTTAATGATGTACACTTTTTTCCCCGTCTTATCGACTTTGGTGAAAAAAACACTGAAAACTTAGCCAGTTGTGTCTGAAACCACATGCCAGTTTGAGTTGACTTCACTATTGTGTGATATTACAATAACAGTGGAAGGCTTTTACCCTTTTTGTTGGTCAGACTTGTTCATCCTTATTAAAACATACCATCAAAAAATAAAATATTGTTTTTTAGCTTTAAGAATGTGGTACACTTGCCTTAGCAGACATATAATGGACAAATTGAACCTTATTGAAACTTTGGGGTTTTCTTTGTATTTGAGCTAAAACAAACAAACAAACAAAAAAGCAAAAACAAAAAAACATTCAAAGCACGAGGGCTTCAAATCCAGCAAGCACAGTAATCTTTTGTTAGTTGGAAAACTACAGCAGCCCATAAAGAAATGATAATTGGTAGAGTTAAGTCCACTGGGTTCAATCTAGTTTAACGTCAAGATGTAGTTTTAATATAAGTCACAAATCATTACATTAACTTTTCATAAGTCAATCTAATGTGATTGAAGAATAATACTCATTGAATTAACCTGTTACATAATTGCATGGTATCAAATGGAAATGACTGCATTTATTGCCATATTTCTCCTATCTTTTCTCAACCCACTAATTAGGCTGTCATGTAGTTCAGCTACAAAACCTTAAATTGTCAAACTGAGGGAAGTTCCTTTTGCAGTGCATATTCCAAAGCTTTGGACATCATTAGTTGCATGGTGTGAATTTGACAGAACTTCCTACACAGCATTAGTATTGTTTCTCACAGGAGAAAAACAAGCTTAGCAATTTTGGTATCATCTGCCCCCTTCTAGCAGCATCTAAAAGTGTTTTGGTTCAATGTTTGCTTCTATTCTCGGCTTTAAAATGCTCTAAAGACAGAATTGCTCCAAACATAGTTGAGTACTTGGTTTGTCCAGTTAACAACTTCTTAGTTCTAAGCTCTTTCTCTATTTTTAAGGAAAAATTACTGATTGCGAAAGCCAGTATGCAGTTAAATGAATTAAACACATTGCTTTTTCACCTGCAGGCAAATATGGCATCATCTGTGTTGAGGACCTCATCCATGAGATTTACACAGTTGGAAAGAACTTCAAGCCCGCCAACAACTTCCTGTGGCCCTTCAAGCTGTCCTCACCCCGCGGTGGCATGAACAAGAAGACCACACACTTTGTGGAGGGAGGTGATGCTGGCAACAGGGAGGATCAGATCAACAGACTGATCAGGAGGATGAACTGAAGTGAGTTGTGTGAACCTTTTTACACGTCTTGGAAGTAGACATCACCTGTTAGATGTGGTTAATGATGCATATTCTTTTTTCCCCATCTTATCGACTATGGTGAAAACCAGCTGAAAATAAGCCAATTATGTCTGAAACCACATCTTACGCCTCACTAGAGACGCTTCATTCTGTAACAGGAAAGGAGAAATGTGATAGCATATCAGTTTCAAAAACAAATGGGTTAATTTTTAGCAATGTGATGGTGATTATATTTCAAATGTGTGGCTGAGACTTAGACTATAAGATAAGTAATGTATACTGCGGGAATTAATTTCTGTATGAAGAAGCATTTCATTACCACTTTACTAAGTTGGTAACTTCTGTTGGATATTTTCAGTGGAACCAATCATGTTTATCCATTTTAACAATGTCTTTTCTTTCATTTTTCAGGTTTTCAAAGGACTCAATGTACAATAAAACATGTGGAAAAAAACAGTCTTGGTCTTGTCGTTACTGTGTAAATCAGTCATGCATTAAGTGTTATTTCAAGCATAATAGATGGTATCAATTTCAGTGTTATGGATATAGTACCAGTTCACAACAGGGGTCATCTCAGGACACATCACACAGCGAGGTCAGGACTCTGTCATCTGTTACAGAGTGAATCCAGGGGTGTATGTTAAGCTCAGGTTTTCAACCAGGTGGCCTTTTTCCTGTTGGGTATTGAAACTTAAAAACAAATTGTGAAATATGAAGTTTAGCTTTGTACATGAAAACATAGTTCTATGCTACAGAGATAAGAAATGTATGTTAGAGGTAGCAGCTCACATGTTGGGTCCAGCATGTTGAACCCACACCAGGTCATGCATGAAATGTGATTGCGTTGAATGTATGAACTAAATACTAAGATTTTTTTTCTTTCTTATGCCAGATGAAATGCTTTTATACTGACTGCACTAAAAACTCAGGTCCTCCACTGCCTGCCTCTAATAAGACCCTGAATGACATATTGTGGAGCTAAATATGACCACATCATAAAAAACGACTGCAGGCAGCTGAGGAAGCCTGTTTCCATGGTGACGCGGTGACTCGGTAGCATTTCTGCCACAGCGAGCTGCAGCCTAGCATCAGTCCGAACCAATTTACCTTCTAACATGGTCGGACATCGCATCCATGTGCACACAGCAGCGTGATGCCGGTAGCAGGTGTTCGTGTGGCAGCTCCAACATGATGACCTACCAGGTGAACACGTCGGTACCCGCCGCCAAGTCTTTAACATCACAGGGAAGCTCGAGTTGCAGCCAGCGCGGCCCTAATGCTTCTGGATACCCAACATACAGGAACTTCGGGATGGGAGCGGGAGGAGGACACGCAGCTTTCAGGCAAAATCAAATAAGGAAATTTCCCATCATACAACCCTTGAGCAGTGAGTAAGCGTCCTCCCATAAACCTGCCAAATTCACCGAGGCGCAGCTAGCTTAATGGTATGTCACAGAGATGCTAAACGCCGTCTAATATGTGTTTCTTGTAGAGTCCAGGGACGGGAAAACCTTGCTGAGCGGCTTCATAGTTGAAGGGTAAGATGTGGGAATATTTTATTGCCAAGGGCTTGAAAAAAACGTCATTGTGTAGTAAATGGTTACATCAGTTAACCTGAGGAAGGAGGAGAGTGCGGGTTTAACTGCGTTTGTGCGGAACGTGAACGCACCACAACCCAAATCCTACCCGGGTTAAACATCCAGCCATTCCCAGATCAGGATCTTCCCATTTCCATCATGATGCCCCAGTTAAGAGTCCTAGCAATGCAGGAGGTGGCCACACATTTTAAAAAAAAAAAAAAAAAAAAAAAGAACCTAAATGTATTTGAATATCCCTGATAGCTTTATAGTTGTCAAAAGAGGCAATGATAATACATAGAAGATACAATGATTGGTGATGTTTGTTTCTCTCTCATCTGTGTAGGACGCCGAACTTAACCAAAGATGACAAACTGGAGTCAGAGAACAATGATCCAGAGAAGGACATCTGTGGGAGGCACTTTCTGTTTGATAAAAAATGTAAGCATTTCAGAATAAGAGCTTTGATATTGCAGCTGAGAGGGCATTCATAGGATTCTGACCATTTTCTCACACTAAAATGTGCTCAGTTTGATCAAAATTGGTGAGTGAAGTGTAAACTGACTGCCAGTAGGTGGAGTTGTCATCATGCGTATGACGCTCAGGGCTCATTCTGCTGACTCCAAGGGTAAAAATAGAGCAGCTCATAGATATGGTAACTTCACACAGAGGCGTTGTTCGGATCTGACACCTCAGAGACTTAAGCCAGCCCAGAAACCTGTAGATCTTAACTTGATAATTACACCTGTGTCAAGTTATTTCAGAGTCAAAATGAATAAAAAGCGTGAGACACTGTGCTCGAGGCAAAGTCAGGTCATTCTACTTTCTTTTTATTCTGCATTAATATCACACTGAGTGCAGGTTAGCCAGGCCAGCAGTTCTTCAACTGTGTGCCTTGGAATTGCTCTTATTTAAGATGCTTTGATTATCAAAAACTATAGGTAAAGGTGTGCCTTGATAATGCTTGTTTTCATACATTTTATTTACTAGCAATTGGGGTGAGCCTTTAAATAGTGCATGAGTAGAGATGCAGGTGCTGGTGAGGGGAAAGAAATACATCCATAAGGTTCCATAACACAATATGCAAATCTGCTCTCTGTCCATGTTTAGCTTGATGATAACTGATCTCATGACAGCAAGTTACAGTTAAACCATAAAATGTATTTTCATCGGCTAGCTTTTGGGGTATTTGGTTAGTTACTAGAGACCAAATTCTATATGTAGAAGCATCCATATGCTCATAGTGTCACCACTGTAAATATTCTGCAACAGAAAAATCTCTCCAATGAAACACTTGACATAACAGAAACCTTTTTTCTTGAGTGAATAGATCAGACTTTTTCAAACAGTGAAAGTAGTCTCAGCTTTTATGATCAAGTCTATAGAACCATTTTCCATCTGCTGTGTTCAGAGTGACGGATGAATATAGCTACAGCTCGTTTTAAAGTGCTCGTAAAATATCTATTCATTAAACCTTTGGGGCTATAGTCTCAGATGCTGAGGCCTAGCAGCGCCACTGACTTCTCAGTTGCAATTAACAGTATTTAATAATGCAAGACAACTGCCATGTTCCTTTCTGTTTTAAATTACACTGTTTCGAGCAACTTCGTGTCAGACAGCTTGGAAATGCTAAATATGGTTGTTTCTAGGCGCGAGGTTGGAAAGGACCAGAACTGTGATTCCTCCACTGCCAAGGGACTACCACGTGCACCGCTCCGGTAACCTGCATCCCTTCAGCCTGTCCAAGGAGCTTTCCCACAGCCATGCAGGGCGGCCCTTCACCCTGGGGTAACCGGTGGATTAACGTCACTCAGTCCAGCAGCTCTAGCCGTACTCCTCATAGCGTATATCTCGAGACAGTTGCACAGATTACAATAATTATACTAAATCACTGTCTCATATATGACAAATTACAGGAATGTGAACAAAGAAAACAGGAGCCAGATGTAATTATTATTTTGACACACAAAATGTATCTGTAAGAAACAGCTGATTGCTTTTAATGTTTAATATTCAGGGAATGTTGGGCGATTGTAGCTAAAATTGAATCATTATTTTTTGCACAGTAATACAATATTATTGCAATTAGTTATCACTCTTAGTCCTCTTTTTTTAATTTAACGACATTTAAACACTTTAAAATGGCAAATATCTGCTTTTACTTTCACATATTTCTTAATAACCATATTAATAAAGTCTGGGAGATCAGTCTTGCCATTTAAGTGAGTGGACTTCTTAAAGATAATATCGATAAAAGTCAGATAGCGCTGACGCAGAAAGGCACCAGATACAAAGATTTATCTCAACAGCTGTTTTAATATGTTTATGTTGTTTTGAATTCTGTCTTGCAGTTACCCCGAAAGATACGAACTGAGCACGAGTCCAGCCATCCTATTTCCCTCCGCTTTAGTCCTCAACGGCAGAAACAGCTTCTCAGTTAAGAACTGCAAGCTCAGCAGGTATTTTTGGCTTTATAAACTAAATGCAACCAAACCAATCAATACTTCTCTCAATTATTTCTCAGACCTATGCCACTTCTGCTGTCCCTCTGTCCCGCAGGCCTAAGGTGAACTACCCAACCTTCAACCTACTGACTGTTAAAGACAATCAGAAAAGTGAGTTATTTGAATGTTTTGACGTAAGAAGACTTAAGTACACGCTTTGACCATTCCCAGGTATTTGCTGTGGTCGTGACACGACAGGTCAGGACACACTGTCTGCTTAGAAAGTGAAAAGAGGAGTTAAACCTTCAACCTGCACAGGTGTTTATGAGATTGATTTATAGGGAGAACCATGTCATTTTGTATGGACTCTCCGTTTCACAACAAAAAAAGCACGAATCCTACGCCTCATTAGCATCGGCTCAGGGTGTGTTTGCTGTGTGAGTGTGCGTGTCGCTACACTATGTCACAGATTTGTATTATATTATGTAGCTGGCAACTCAAGTTATAAATTGCAAACACTGTATTTTCTTCCCTTTTAAAAAAAATACCTCTGGTTTCCTTTCAATTTTTACTGAAAGTACCAGTTGTACTTACATTTATTTTTGTAAAGCACGCATCAAAGTGTCCAAAACATTATTTCTAACTGATATTTCTTAAATATTTGACACAGCTGACGATAGATAAAGACAAGCACTATAACCCACCATTGTGGAAATACCCCTACTTTCATTTCATATATCTATTTCATGTAACTATTTTATCATAGATCTCATCCTAAAATCTCTTGTTCTTTCCTTTCCATGCTTTTTTCCATCTCTTTCCCTCTTTCTCTCTCTCTCTCTCTCTCTCTTGCCACACAGGCCAGTCCTATCCGGACCCAATGGTCGGAGCCCCTCGCTCTTTCATCCACAGGATATCTGAGCTGTCGTCTTTGGAGGGCGAGACGGTGAGACAAGAGAAGCTCAAGAAAATGCGGAAACCTCGAAAGCCTCCATCCTGACAATCACCTCCTTCCCAGTCACACTGGTCGAGAATAAAAACCTCTGAGTCTGTGCCAACGACTGAACAAAATACAACACCTAGGGCACCGTGTTCATTTCAGTGGCTCGTTCTAACTGCTTGCTTGTCCTCGGTGACATTAGTTTGCTGCTTAACATGGCTGGTCATTACATTTTGGGACTCCTGACCTGAACTCCTCTCTCTCTTAGTGGTTACATGGAGTATTTACTCTGGTAAAAATGCAGTGTTTGCTACAACAATAGATGCTGACGATGAATATTAGGTAAGTTTTTTCTAGTCCGACTCACAGCTGTCAGTGCTTTTCCACTTAACATCTGCATGAAGAGATATCTATCTTTCTAATGGCTTTTAATGGCTGTTATGTAGTACTGCCATATTCCTCTGTGTATCATTAGTATGTTGCAGATGCTGTCCAACTTAAAAGCGACTCCAACAGTATTCCAAACATTTCCAACATATATTTAAGCTCTGTTAAGTTAGTGAGATACTTCTGTACATATTTAATAGTTTAGCAGAACCATTATTGTGCCTTGTTAAATGTCTTCCTGAAATTAAATAAATTTATTTTTGTTATTTTAAGGACTTTCCCCTTTTGTCTAAGTCACGTTTCTTGTTCTTTAGCTTCTCGTGCAACACAGACTAATACAGGCAGCGCCACAGCCCTCCCTCTTGGCACATGTGCTGCATATCGACCGCCACAATAATCCAAATGTGTAAAAGGTTGCAATGAAACGTAATCTACATTCCATATCTACAAAACAGATACAAAACTGTGCCCCCAGATCGCAGAATGTGGTACTTTCCCACATAATACATAGTTTTGCTGCTCTATGGAGGGCAGCTCACGTCTCTGAATGCTCTTGTTCATTGTATTCGACAAAGACAGCAGTCATGGCAACTGTCTTTTTGTTTGGAGAGAAATGAGAATTCCATTATTATTTGAAGATCATTTGTGCTTTTGAGGAAGAAAATATGTGATAATTGACTCAATTAGATTATCAGCGGAGCTTGTTATCCATTTCGACTTGTGTGAAACACCCACAAAGAGTTCACAAATGTTGCCTTTGAGTAGAGCACAGATGCGAATAACTAAGACTGTAGATGATTATGTTATATAAATGTAACTCATTCATGGAGATGACTGATGATATAAAACCTCGAGTGTGTGTGTTACAGATGATAACTGGCAAAACATAAGGCACCAGATGCCACAGCTGCGGTAGGTACAGCAACAGACATGAGCTGAGGCAGCGGATAGAAAAAACTGGAACATTGTACAACAAACGCCAGCAGCGGAAAAAGAACAGAGCTGTGACTCAAAAATGTAATTTCCTGCTCTGGTTATTGATTAAACCTGTAAAAACTTGTTTCTTTCCAAAGAAGTTACGTATTAGATGGAAGTTTTTTGGGGAATTTTTTTTCTTGACAATGATCCCCAATGTGGCTCAGATTTAACTCTGCACTGTTGCTGCCTTTAGTATTTGTCTATAAAACTCCTCATCTCTCTTTTCTCAACCCTCCTCGCTTGATGCAGCTTGAGCACGCCAGCTCACCAACAACTGTAAAACTAAGATAATGACCTGCAAAGCCCCAATCTTCAAGGTGACCGCATTGTTTCGTTGTTTGATACACACAAAACGTTGGAAATCTGAATCTGTGTTTTTGAGACAGCCATTGGTGCACTGCGGTTTTAAGGTGGAAATGCTCGGTTGTGGCAATGATTGCTTATTTAGCCCACGATGTGCCTTCCAGCATACATAGAGAAACGCCATATGGCCTTGTTAACAAGGTAAACTTCATTTTACCTGGAGGGATGTCGTCATGCATGCCATAATTCTCAAACTGAAGTTTATTTTAAGACAGAATGGATGTTTACACCACAAAACTTTGACCTTTACGTTGATTTAAATTCCACTTGGCATGCCGACTATAAATAATAAAGACAGAACAATAGAAGGATCCCTATATATGTCCAGGATGAAGCTGTTTTGGTTTCCCACTAATCTCTCATGTGTGTTATCTCGCCACCACAGCTCCCCTCAGTTTTACCCAGTACTAATCAGAATGGCATGAGGAACCAGAGCCAAGATGGCCACTCCGCTGTCATTTGAAGGACGATATTGTCCTGCAGTCCATCTCTGAGATCATTTAGAATGGAGGCTGGTGGGTCTAAAAAAATGACAGA